CCTCCATCTCCTGTTCCCTTCAGTAGGGATCCACGATGAGAGCTGATATACGGTAGGTTAATTGTAAGAAAGGACTCTGGACACAGGCAAAACTAGAAATAGGAACTAAATGGAAACACAGTTGAACCAGGATTCCTTTAATCATGGTTAACTGAGTTCATACAGCAAGCCATAAACCGCAAGCAGACTGGGGTTTACTTTTTGTTTTACATCACATATAAAGAATATTTTATTATGGGGAATAAAATGAATCATTGAGATTAGATGAGAACTGATTTGTGTTCCTTAGTATTTACTCTGTAATAAGATTAATGAAAAAATAATTGTGTAGATAAGGTCTCTTGAATGGACTTCCTATTCTAATAGGAAACTGTCCCTCTGAATAAAGTGAAGACTTCTGTGGTTGGGATCTTTTAGAAATTGATCAGCCGAACCCTAATAAAAGTGGATTCAGGAGTGGCTCAGATCCAAGGCCACAGAATAGGACCAAGAGGGATCATATTCTGTAGGTGATCCTCATCCCAATATTTCCTTTTTACTCTTATTACAGAATGACAAATGGACAGATGAAGAAGAGAATCCATCAGTGGAGATTCGAGACCAAAATCCCTCACACCACAAAATAGTAGGACTCTGTTTTCATTTAATTTCCTAAATTACAAAATGCAAAAACGTTAGCCTGAAATTATCTTTTCCTAACCTCTGTCTAAATGGCATTTGGGAGGCTGCCTGTGGAATAAGGCTAGCACGCTAAAGCCTAAAGTTTTCTTACAACACGAACTTGAGAAAAGTAGAATGCTTTTCCCCAAATGTATTAAATGTATCTCTAGTAGCAGGATCACACTTCTTGTATTTCACTGATTTTTGATCCCCTTATTTAAGCTTCTGTTTACCATTTCTCTATAACCTGAGTATATCCACCAATCTCCTTTGTAATTAATTTTTGTATTACTTGTAAAAACACTAAACCTATTAAAAATCAGATATTGTGTACAGCCTTTCCAAACTCTTATTTTTTTTTTTCTACATCATTTCTACATCAATACATCTTAACACATTAATGCCTCTAGGTCAGGGGTCCTCAGCCCCTGGTCTGTGGACCAGTACTGGGTCGCAGCATGCCAGCAACTGATACGCACAAACAAAGCCCCATTCATGGGGTGCAGGCAGCACACAAAACCACGCCCTCCGGTCTGCGGAAAAACCTCTCTCCACGGATCCAGTCCCTGGTGCCCAAAAGGTTGGGGACCTCTGCTTTAGGTGAGATGGGTGGGATATTCATTTAATAAATACATAAACCATCTTCATTTTAAAATTGATTACAGGAAGACCTAGGGAAATTAAGGTCGTAAAATGGTGCAAGATTCACTTAACAATGATCTCACTTAGCAACTTCAAATGTTGGTCGTTAAGTTGAGGACTACCTATATTCCCCACTGCTTGTGATCAGGATAGTGAGACTGTCTGCCAAGAAGAAAATAAAATTGCAATGGGTGGGGGGGGGGAGATGGCAGTTGGGACTCTATATTGCTCCTCCCTCCTCCCTCCCTCCCTTCCTAAACTGCAGATCCTGATCTGTTGTCTCTCCCACCAGGTTGAGTCCGGCAAGTTTCTGACCAAAGTGACTCTTTGCAATGCTGCCCTGCAGCAGGAGAATTTCGACAGTGACACCATCAACAACCAGCCAGAGACCACAGCTAAGGATATTGGGTAAGCTGATTGTGCCCAGCTGCATGTTCTAGGTACAATCCGAAACTATCAGCTTGAAGTCCACTTCCTTCCTCTCTACAAAAACTGAAAGCAAAGAAAGGGACACCACTTTCGGTTATTAGTGGTCCAGCATTATTGCAACAGAGGTTGAGCTGGACAGAAACGTTATAAGTCATTTGCATTTTCTTCCCAAGAGCCATTCTAGGTCAACGTTGACCCAATCTAAGAAGAGATATGAAGAATCCCCCAAGGTTGTCACCTCTTCCCCTACCAAATAAATATAAATAAAATATTAATGAGACAAACCAAATTCTAGCCATTGCTCTTTTATATATAGCCAGAATATTTATTTGCAGCTATTTCGGCAATCAGGAGGCATCTGGGAGCTTATTTTAGTATGAAAAACAATGAAAATAAAAATCAGAAAAGGGGGGAATTGAGGGGGGAGGCAGGATAAAAGGAAGAGGAAAACAAAAAACATTGACTTTTGACTCTTTCCAGTACAGGTAATCCTCAACTTACAACCACAATTGAGCCCAAAATTTCTGTTGCTAAGTGAGATATTTGTTAATTGAGTTTTGCCTCATTTTACAACTTTTCTTACCACAGTTGTAAAGTGGATCACTGCAGTTTCTAAGTCAGTAATACAGTTGTTAAGTGAATCTGGCTCCCCCATTGACTTGGCTTGTCAGAAAGTCCAAAAGGGGATCACGTGACCCCAGGAAACTGGAACCATCATAAATACGAGTCTGTTGCCAAGCAACATTTTGATCATGTGACCCTGGGTATGCTGAAATAGTCATAAGTATGGAAAACAGTCATAACTCACTTTTTAAAATTCTGTTGTAACTTCGAACAGTTACTAAACAAACTGTTGTAAGTTGAGGACTATCTGTACAATAAAGTATTAACTACAATTACAGCCTCAACTTTTTGTGTTATATTTAGTTACTACAAGCCCTTTCTATATCCACACAACTATTCAATGTTCACACTAAGGTCAATGTTTCTTTCTTTTTTTCTTCTATTTGGAGCATAAAATTTGGAAGCAATTAATCTTTATTTCCATTGTATTTTATACTATAATAAACTTTAATAAAAATTAAGTCTGGGAACATGAAGGCATATACATTTAATATTTGTTAGTTTGAAAAGTGCTCTCAAACTCTATGTGGTTTTTGGATAGACTGACTAATTCAGTTCTTCTACAAGGTCAACTGTTGAGTAAACAACTGTAACAGATGCATAAAACTACAGCATTCAGTACCAACAGTAGGCTGGATGGCTAAGTTGAATAAATTGATTCAGCCCTAAGGTGATTTATTTGGCCTGGTTCAATGTGTGGGGTAAAATCAGCCAGTTGTGGTTTATTCAGATAACCAAAATCAAGCAAATTGCTTAGTATAATGAACAAATCCAGCCAATCTCTTTTCTTCCCAGCTGTTTTCTTACCATACTATGGGTTGGTTGGTTGGTTACTTAGTTAGTAGATTTTTATTCTTATAAGTAATTCAAGAATGGCAAACATACATAACACTTCCTTCTCCTCTTTCCCCCCACAACAACCATGTGAGGTTGGTTGGGCTGAGAGAGAATGACTGGCCCCAAATCAATTGTTTATTGATCCTGTAGGATTATTTAGGATATTCAGATCTAGATGTTTAGAAGGCTTCTCTAGTCATTTTCTGTTCTTCTATCAGGGCACCATTTGACAAGAAAAGTCACATTTGGTGAAAATTTCCAATGTGTACATTGTGTTTCCACACCATGTATTTTAAATCAATATGCCCAAGTGATGTAAAATTACTGATCAGCATACACTATTTTCAAATTAAAGGTTTTGTAAAAAGAAAAACTAAAAGAATTTTGGATTTGAAGAAATTTTCCTTATCAGTCTCTTGAAAATCTTTTACAACCACTGTGTCCATTTCCAGAATTTTTTCAAGTTACATGTCCATTTTGTAAGTCAATTATTCTTATTTTTTCAAAAAAATATTCAAATAGTAAAATTTTCGAACCTCATGCTAAATGAACATTTTTTTTATTTTAAAAAAGATAATTTATTTTTTTATAAAGCAGCAAATTATGTGAAAGCATTAAAGATGATCATTTTTGTATTCCCAGAACTGAACACCCAATATTGAAACCACTGCTTTCAACTATCTTCTCACAAACAATTTGAAACTTTTATGAGAATATAAACAGGGTGGATGCCCTGAATTTTGCTCAGAAATTATAAAAATCTTCATAGAACCTGCGTTTGATGTCTTCATTTTGCTTTCATGTATTTGGCTGGGCTAGAAATCAGGATCCACTAAGGCAGCGTTTCCCAGCCTTAGCCATTTGAAGTGTGGACTTCAACTCCCAGAACTCCCTAGTCAGCAATGGGGTATTCTGGGAGTTGAAGTCCACACATCTTCAAATGGCTACGGTTGAGAAACCTTACACTAAGGCAGGAGTAGGAAACCTTGGCTCTTTTATGACTCGTGGACTTCAACTCCCAGAATTCCTGAGCCAGCCATGCTGAGGGGAAAGGGAGAGGTTTCCAAGCTGAGCCAAGCTGGCTCAGGAATTCTGGGAGTTGAAGTCCACGAGTCATAAAAGAGCCAAGGCTGCCTACTCCTGCACTAAGGGAACCATTTAAAATCTATAGTGACCATAAAAAAAAATCATCATTCTTCCTAAAAGAGCGCCTTTTGATCTCTTCCGATTTGCAAAATTCGGCTTTCCAAACTTGAACTCTGCAAGCGATCTTGCAGCGGACTAAGATCAACTAAGGGGGAAAAACGCAGATTCCCTCTCACTTATCTAGGCTTTTGGAAAGTCGGACTAAACCAATCCGAAATTCTGGGGGAATCTCAAGGACATTTACTGCAGGAAATGCTCTCAGGGAGGGACAGAAAAGAAAGAAAGGGAGCTCAAAATAGCAATCCTAAAGCTAAAAAACGAGACCGGCGCCTTATTGAAGGAGGGGTTATCACATTATTATTCATTATAATAAAACGGCTCCCCTCTCCCGATTTAAAAATGGCATTTCCTGCTTCAGATACAGTCCAGACCAGGAAGCGGCAGTGAATCGCCTGAACGTCTGTAAGGAGGGCGGCTATTTTGCTCTCCTCCTGCGCGCGAGAGGGGCCGGGAGGGGTAGGGTAGGGACGCCTGTGGCGGCGGGAGGGCGCCTGGGAGGGGTGCGATGGGTGTCGCCTGATCTCAGCCTCGCTTTGGACTTGGGACTAAGGCTGGTTTTGCAGGGCATCTCCGATCTGCGCAGAGCCACCGCCGTCAGCAAGATGAAGCAAGAGAATATTTTCCTCTTCGTTCCCAACCTCATTGGTAAGTGATGGGATGCGGGCCAGGCAGCCAGTCCCAAAATGCTGGATATGGTGGACCTGCTTATATTTTTGCCTTCTAGCTCTGATCTCTTCCCCCTTTGCCTGACTTATTCTTTAATTCAGTGTTTCTTCAACCTTGGGTGACTTTAAAATGTCTGGACTTCAACTCCCAGAATTCCCCAGCCAGCCAGGAATTCTGGGAGTGAAAATCCAGACATTTTAAAGTCACCCAAGGTTGAGAAAAATTGCTTTCGTCCATTTCCATTTCATTGCTCTTGCAGTGATAATCCTGTCCCTAAGGGAAGCCACAACCTGATGAAAACACCAGCAAACAGGCCAGCCGCTTATTTGATGGTTGAACAGATTGTAGTTTCTCCCAGAAAAGTCTCTAAAACATCTTCCTTGTTTCTTGTCTATGTGACAGAAACATGACAAACCAGGGATTCAAGAAATTTGGGGAATCCTGCCAAGAATATGGGGAAGGGGAATGTGGATGTAGGATGGATTTAGCTGAAATTTGGGGAGTTCGAGACTATAGTCCAGGGGTAGTCAACCTTGGCTCTTTTATGACTCGTGGACTTCAACTCCCAGAATTCCTGAGCCAGCTGTGCTGGCTCAGGAATTCTGGGAGTTGAAGTCCACGAGTCATAAAAAAGCCCAAAGTTGACTACCCCTGCTATAGTCTCTGCATGGGGTGTAGGGTTGAAGAACAGTGGCTTATGTTGCTTGCCTTTCCTTTGCAGGTTATGCTCGTATAATCTTCGCTTTTATTGCTTTTTATTATATGCCAACTTCCCCCTTCCTGGCATCATTCTTCTACCTACTTAGTGGCTTCCTTGATGCCTTTGATGGCCATGCTGCCCGGGCTCTTAACCAAGGTAAGACTGGACTGTGGCAGGGTCATAGTGGGGGTGGAAGGAAGGGAAAGAGAGGGAGGGGGGCTGGAAGAAGAGAGGAGGGGAAAGGGAGGGAAGGAGGGAGGGAGGGAGGGGGAAGAAGAGAGGAAGGGAAGGAGGAAGGAAAGAAAAGAGGGAGGGAGAAAGGAAGGAAGGGGAAGAGAGAGTGGAAGAGAAAGGGGAGGACAGAGGAAGGAAGGAATCATAGATCCAGGACAAAGTCTTGGCTGTCAAACTCATGTTTTTTGCTTTACTTCGGAGACCATCACCAGCTCTCTACGATTCCCATTAATGGGGACGTGATCATTTTTTTAATCTGAAGTTAACCTTGGGACTTTCATCTTTAAAATATGTGATCCACCATTAAGCCCTTGTCTCTTTCCCAAAAAGAGAACTGGCCTATCATTGTGGTTGGTTACAAGAGTGAAGCAATCTCAGTATATTTTTGAGTTGACTAGATTGTCATTCATGCTTTCCTCTGCCTTCTTCTCAAATCTGTTATTTAGGGGAGAAGATCTTGAACTCCCTCAGAGTATTGTTTGATTGCTTTAGAAGGGATTGTTTGAGAATTCTTTTCTATGAGGAGTATTTTATAGTTAGAAACATTTAATTCATGCACATTTAAATCAAGACAGTGCAAACCTTACCTCAAGTATGTAGGGAGAGGATTCTGCCTCTAGTGCAGTGGTGGCGAACCTATGGCACGGGTGCCAGAGGCGGCACTCAGAGCCCTCTCTGTGGGCACGTGTGCCATCGCCCCAGTCCTAGGCCTTCAGCTGGGTTTTATAAATCCTTTTCGCTTTAGGCCTCTGCCGCTGTGTACAAAAAAAAAAGGTTCAATCAATCAGTCAATTTCAACTTTTTGCAGGGAAAAAAAAGATCTTGCAAAGTTGGAATTGATTGATTGAACTTTTTAGTTCCACCCAGTTTGCTATTACCACTGCAATCACACCCACCTAATGGGCCACACCCACCCAATGGGCCACACCCACCCGGCACCCGACGATGCATAAGTGGGTTTTGGGTTGCAGTTTGGGCACTCAGTCTCTAAAAGGTTCGCCATCACTGCTCTAGTGTTTATATCAAAATATGAATGTTAGATTTTGCCAGCTTTCTTCCAGTCAAGTTATATTTCTGTAGGTGATAGTTTGCTTAATCGTTTGATTTAAACAAGGATTTGCTATAACATCTACCTATTGGGATTTACTGAAAGAATCATAGCATATAAATATTTATAGCATATAAATTAAGAACTCTTACAGTCTAAAAACTCCAATAAAACAATCTATAAAATAAATTGTAGATGTGAACATGAAAGACAAAGTCCCTGTAAAAAACTGTAATATCTGAAAGGAAGATTTCAAAATGGCTTGGCTGGGTTCCTATGGCTTCCCTTTATTGTATCACTAATTAAATAACCAAGTAATGAATTAATTAAATAATTAAGCTTATTTAAGTTAAACTTCCATTTGTACCTTTGGATTTGTCATGCTGGTCTCCAAAAAGTTTCAACTCCCCTATTGAAATTCTTCACTCGAAAAAAAAAAAGCAAATTAATAGCTTTCTACAAAAACATGTTTACATTACTTATCAAGCTATATAACTCATTCCAGCAGTTTTGGCTGTTTTTTCACTGAGATATCTGGAACAAAAGACATGTTGATCCTCCAAATCAAAAGCAATTCAACAACCATTTGAAGAAAGAATTAAGCTAGCTAGGGAATTCTGGGAGTTTTGGGCCAAGACCTCAGGGGCTACAGTGCCAAGCTGAGTATGGTCATTTTTCTTAATGATAATAAGGTAATCCTCGAGTTATGAATGTAATAGAACCTGCCAATTACATTCGTAACCCGAGGATTCATTCTTTGGATCATGTTAAATTAACGTGATCCTTCCCGGTTTTACCCAGTGCATTCGCTAATCGAATGCACAAGTCATTAAGTGCACATGAGGTATATCAGGGTGGGGAAGACCATGGGGAGCCTAGTGCTTCCAACCACTCAGGGCCTCCCCTGATCCACTGAGATATCTCATGCTTCCCTCTCCCCCTTCCTGCCCCACTGGGTCTCCACAGGCCCTGGCCCTATGGAGACTCACCTTTTGAAGATCTTGATGATCAAGTGAACTCTCTCCTCTCCAGCCTCTCTGCTGTGGTTTCTTTGCCTGCTCCCAGTGCTCCAAAAGCAGAGTGCTGAGAGCAGAGGCAGAGCGGGACGAGTGTGCTCTGCTCAGCTTGGCTGACTCACGGAGGCTGCCTGTGCAGGATACCTGTTCCACTTTTTGAGCGCCAGGCAGCCTTGATAAGTCTGAAGGAGCACGAGATCGCGCTTCCAGAGGCCTCCATCCCTTTGCAAAACTTTTTGGCACGGAGCACAGAGGCCTGAAGGAGTGTGAGATCATGCCTCCAAGGGCTTCTGTTCTCTGCGCCAAAAGCTTTTGCGAAAGGACGGAGGCCTGAAGCATCACAGGATTGCATCTCCGAAGCCTTCCGTCCCTTTGCAAAAGCTTTTGGTGTGGAGAACAGAAGCCTTTGGGGGGGGGGTGATCTCACACTCCTTCAGGCCTCTGTCCTCCACCCCAAAAGCTTTTACAAAGGGACGGAGGCCTTTGGAGGTGTGATCTTGTACTCCTTTAGAGTCACCGAGATTGCCCGGTGCTCCAGAAGCAGATCGGATGTCCTGCGCAGGCAGACTCAGTGACTCAGTGAAGCTGAGCAGAGCGCGCTGGTCCTGTTCTGCCTCTGCCCTCATTGCTCCACTTTTGGAGCGCTGGGAGAAGGCAAACCCTGCAGCAGAGAGGCTGGAGAGAAGATCTTCAAAAGTTAAGTGAGTGATCAGTAACGGGGTGGGGAGGAGCTGATGGGCTAGCATAGCAGGGCCAGTGCCTGTTAGGTCCCTGTGGGGAGGGTGGGGGTGGAACAGGCAGGGGGAATGTTGCAGTGTCTCTGCGGTCAGTCGTAAGGGTGAATGACTGCCGTGGTGCTGCAACATTCGTAACTTTGAGACTGTCGTAAGTACTTGTGTGTGTGTGTGTGGGGGTGTCATAACTTTGAACTGTCGCTAAGTGAACTGTCGTAACTCGAGGACTACCTGTATTGGACACGCAATGTCTTTTGAAACTCTTGTTTCAGTCTTCATTTCAGCGTGGAGCTTATGCAACAGCATTAATATTAATTTTTTAAAAAAGGATCAGTAAGTTGAGGTTGGAACTCCTGTTGCTACGTATGTGATTGTGTATATGTTCCCCCCTTTTTATGTGTTTTTTTTCCTGTTGCTTTTTACTTAATAAAATTATACTAAAAGGCACGAATGAACCCAAAAACCCAAGCACTGTTCCTCTCCTAACCTATGGCCTTCCTCCTAGGAACCCGCTTTGGGGCCATGCTGGACATGCTGACTGACCGCTGTGCTACTATGTGTCTGCTGGTGAACCTGGCTATGCTCTATCCAGAGTCTGCCCTCTGGTTTCAGCTGAGCATGAGCCTGGATGTGGCCTCCCATTGGCTACATCTCCACAGGTATCGGCTGGGGAAATAGCAGAGCTGAATGCAGTTTATTAAGCTGTCTATCAAATTTAGGTACCGATGCAATGCTGGCTGGGGAATTCTGGGAGTTGAAGTCCATACTTTGGGAAACGCCGCTCTAAATAGTGATGGGTAGAATGGCTCTCCTCTACTTAGATTCTCCTCCTCCTTCAAACTGTAATCCAGTTCAGTTTTGCATTGAAAAGGGGTGTAGACAGTTCGCTTCAGATTTATCGTCCTTTTGGTCTTCAGATTGGAGGAGCTTATGCTTGTATTGCCTGCGCATTTTTAAAATCCTTTCGCCTTGTAAAGCAGGGATCCTCCACCCTTGGGCTGCGGCCCGTTCGGAATTGGGCGGCGTAAGCAGCGGACAAGTGTGGGCGCTCGTGCTCACATACGAAGCTCCATTTGTGTGACCGGTGGGTGCAGGCACCCGCTACTTGCACAAATGGAGCTGTGTGCACTTGTGCAAGCCTGCCACTCACACGGAACCATTCCCTCTCCCTCCTCCCGTCAGGCCGCCATGTTGTAAAGGCAAGAGCTATATAGATAGTCCTGGATTTACAACTATTAGTTTAGTGACCAAAGTTACAACGGCACTGAAAAAAGTGACTTATGATCGTTTTTCACACTTAACGGCCGTTGCAGCATCCCCCGTAATCACGTGATCAAAATTCAGACTCTTGGCAACTGGTTCATAGTTGTGACGGTTGCAGTGTGTCCCAGGGTCATGTGATCACCTTTTGTGACCTTCTGACAAGCAAAATCAATGGGGAAGCCAGATTCACTTAACAACTATGGCATGAAAAGTTGTAAAATGGGGCAAAAGTCACTTATTATTGTCTTGGTTAACAACAGAAGCTTTGGGCTCAGTTGTGGTCGTACGTCAAGGGCTACCTGTAATCCTGTACATTTTTCCTGAGCCAGGGGTAGGCAACCTTGGCTCTTTTATGACTCGTGGACTTCAACTCCCAGAATTCCTGAGCCAGCACAGCTGGCTCAGGAATTCTGGGAGTTGAAGTCCACGAGTCATAAAAGAGCCAAGGTTGCCTATCCCTGCCTGAGACAGAGCTCTGTTTGGTGGCTGTTCTGCTGAGTCATGTGTTCAGGTCTAGGGCTGTATTCTAGATGGAGCTACAAACTGAGCTGCCTTTCACATCTCCCCTCCTTTATTCCCAAAAATTCTTTAGGCCTTTGGAGAAGTTCTCTAAGCCTCATAATGTCCATCAGATTTATTTGTTTGTTTGTTTATTGCCCACCTTAACCGCTAGACCAAACTGACTCTCCTTTATTAATAAACGAATGCATTGCTTTAATTTATTGTAAGGGCTTGGTTCTAAAGGACAGCATAAAAATTTTAAAACTTAATAAAATTAATATTGTTTAAAGAGTTGGAAGAGATCTGACGCACATGAAAGGCTGGCTTCTTGAGAAAATAAGGGTGAAGGAAGTAACATTGCAGTTTTGAGGCCGAGTTGTTTTTAAAGCATGCACAACCTGGAGAAATGTGATGTGTAAAGTTAGAACATTCTTCCTGTGCAGCAGAGAAAGTCGTTCTGGGAGGATTTCATATGGAAGAGATACACAGGCGTGTGAGAGAAGGAACAAGAGAGGGGAGTTGAGGTAGAACTGATTATTCTAAATTCCCATTTTAATTTTCTTCCCCTGCCTCCCCTTAGCACTGTGGTGAAAGGTGGAGAAAGCCATAAGAGTATTGACTTAACAGGAAATCCGATCTTGAGAGTATATTACAACTCACGGGTGAGTGTCACAAAAATTGTCTCTTCACAGCATTGCACTCCTAACCCCATCCCAACCTTCCTCTCCTCCTGTTTTCTCAAAACCGAAAGCCCTCTGCAGGCCTTTTCTCGCCAATTTTCTTATGAAATTCTCTCCTAGGACCTCTCGTTTAATTCAAAATGCTTTGGAGAGAAAGCACCATTGGGGTGATTTCTCATTTTTAATGAACAATAGAGTTGTCTTCAGTAAATTTTCCCGCTCCCATTGGCCTCCGCAGCAAACTGAATTGCAATACAAGCTCCATCTGTCATTTAATTGCCAGTGACTTGATAGAAGTACACAATGGGGGAAGTTTGCAGTGTAACACATTACCATTGGACACACCCCACTCTACCCCATTCCCCCAATGCCCAAAGTCTGCTATAGAAAGAGGCATTCCCAGCCACGTCAGTCACTGTTCTAGCATGTTTATTTTCATGAATCATTTCCTTCAAATTGGAGGAACAGTGGCAATTTAGTAGACTTCCAGTCAGGCTAATTTAAGATGTTGACCTTGACTATCAAAGTGCTTAAAACCTATGCAAACCAATCTGTATCATGGTTGAGGGATGCCTCCTTCCCATTTGAAGTGAGACCAGATTTTTCTGTGGGATGGCGCCAGTGTTATAGGATCCCTTACTAATCAGTTTGCCTCTGTAGGGTCCTTGGTGTTCCTTGAGGTTGCTTGTTTTCTTGCAGATGCTTCATTATTCAGCTAGGCAACATCATCAGTGCTAGAAGCACTGTTTAGCACTGATGTCTAGCACTATCTAGTACTGATGATCTTACCTAGTTGGGTAGTGAAATGTCTGCAAGAAAACAACCAAGCTCAGAAAGCGCTATGGACCCCACAGTTCAACCCTGAGCCACAAGTATTCTCTTCTGTTGATACAATTTGCTTCTCTTCTTCCATGTTGATTAGCTGGTAATCCAAGCCATCTCTTTCCTGAAAGGGTTATCTGACTGCTGTTTTTATTCTGGGATATTATTTTTATCATATGCAATAGGTTATTTTTTGATATAGATTATTTATATAGAAAGATGTTTCCATAAAGTCATCATGATTTGTCATGCAACCCCAGCTGATGCCTTCATAAACGCCATCTGATTTAAACTGGCTTCTGTTGGCTGCCATTTCTTGCCTGATTTGATCTGATGTAGTTTCTCCTTCCTTTCAGCCTGTTCTTTTCCTTATGTGTGCTGGTAATGAACTCTTCTACTGCATGTTATACTTGTTGTGTTTCGGTGAAGGGCCAGAAAGTAAGTACAGAAAGCTGAGGGAATTGAGGGGAGGGGAGGCTTTAGGACTGAAGAACATGTTGGATTTTTCCACCCTTCTCTTTTTTGTTCTTCTGCTTTATAGTCCTGTCAGGATACGCTGGACTCTACCGCCTGATTCTGTGGGTTTGTACCCCCATTGCCATCACCAAGAGCTTCATCAGCTTAATTCACTTGGTCTCGGCCTCGTGCAATATGGCTGCCTTAGATGCTGCTGAACGGGCAAAGAAGATGTAGGATATCAAAGTTGTGGGAAGGAACTCCCCTAAGTCTTCCAGAGTGATCAGCTCCCAACCTTCATGATGAAGGAATGAGATCTTTGCCTCAGATCAGTCACTCCGGTTGTACAGTTTTTCTCTGATGTGTTCACTTCACCTTCCCATGATGCTTTTGTAATATCTATGTGGGGCAATAGGGTAACTCCTGCTCCTCCTGGCTTCTTCTGGTTTTACTCCCATAATAATATGAACAGTTGAGTTAAAAATGGGCTGTTGAGGAGGATCCTGATCCACCATTTTGAGGGGCAGCTGAAGAGCTTGTCGTTTTGGAATTGAAAGCTTTTTTACCTCACACTTTTGGGGTATCTTTGGAGAGAACGAAATATAGGACTGCACTTGTCTTGATATAATAAACTAAACTAGTATTTTGTTGCCTAAAAATCAAGAAGATCACATCTAAACACCTTTTGAAATCTGGACTAGGTTTTTTTGTGTTCCCAAATTGTATAGGAGCAGATCTCTGAAGAGGAGAATATATTAATCCCCTGCATTCTGCAAATATATCTAATAGGAGCAACCATTTGGAAGTCATTTATTTTGGACAATATAAATACACAGCTTGAAAAAGGATATAGTATTGGTAGGCTACCTATTGATCCTGGAGGTCTTAAGATCATATCTTGCATTATTTCCTTAGAATTATCTCTGAATGTTCAGTTTAACTTTTGTACTTTAACTCATGATTATCTGCTCTTATCTCTTGTAAAAAAATTTTTATTAGAAATACATAGACCAGAGGTGGCAAATTGCTTCATTTCTCAAGCAATTCAAATTGACTGTAGCTGAAGGCTATACTTTCCTTTTCTTCAATCATGTCATTGTGCTGTGCAATATTGAAGTGAACTAAATAAGGACAACTTTCAGCATCAGTTTCGCCCTTCTGGAGTCCTGTCTGACTTCTCCACAATGCTGACATTTGCCAGTGGCAGAGATGTATTTACCTATTTATTTTCTTCAAGATTTTGAACATTCAGTACTTTCCTGAGGTAATTAGTAACTCGTTTATATAGACAATCGTTTATCTTCTTTCTTTCCTCGTTGGTTTCTGCATTAGCGCATTAGCAAGCTCTCCTACTGTGGCTTTCAGCAAGAGGTTTACATTGCCATGGTAGCTCCCTACCTATTAAAGGTCCTCTTCTTCCTTTCCCACAAAAGCTGGCTTTTCATGCTTGTATTAGGACCCAGAGGTCAAGAGAAATAAAAGATGGAGATGATGGAGGCAGGGTTTTTAATTTATTAAACAAATTTATGACTGCCCAACTGACACACAGTGACTCTGAGTGGCTTACAGAATTAGAAATTCACAACATAACTACCACCTTGGGGCCATAATAGAAGAGAGATATCTAAGCCCTAAGGCAGGGGTAGTCAACCTTGGCTCTTTTATGACTCGTGGATTTCAACTCCTAGAATTCCTGAGCCAGCCTGAGCCATGCTGGCTCAGGAATTCTGGGAGTTGAAGTCCACGAGTCATAAAAGAGCCAAAGTTGACTACCCCTGCCCTAGGCATAGCTTAATTGTCTGGCTATATTGAAGGAACCAAATGTGAAGACTGTCGTGGAGAACACTTGACTGTGCCAAATTAGAGTGCCGTGACCTGGTAGTTCCTTTTGCTTAAACTGCAAGGAGACCTCTGAAATTGAAATGGTTATTTTTGGTCCTTCCTTGTAATATTCTCACCCTGTCTCCTCCAGGCAGGGGCTGATCTTAACAACTCTCCTAAATCCACAGTGGTGTTGCTGCACATTTCAAACCTGAGTGTCTGCATATTGTATATATATTTTTAAAGTGTAAAGCTTTTGTCTGGAAAAAAAAACCTCTTGCAACAAAATTGAGGTTATGATCATCTGATTGTCTTGATTTGGTTGTCTCTGATTATTTATGGAAAGATCTGGATGAACAACCAAGATAAATATGGCAAATATTCCTAGCTCAGTATTTAATGGTCTTCTGAAGACCAAGAAGATTGACCACCTGGTTAAAGGGAGAATAAATGTTTTCAGTATAGCAGAAGCCAACATTCGTGAATCAGAGGAGCCATAAAATAGGCTGATGTCTGCAGATTAAGCCTCTTTGTCAACAAGACCTAAGGGAGGAAACAGAATGAAGATAAAAGAGGCAGTCTGTTGCCCTGCCAAGACCCAAATCTTGCCAAGACACCTCTTCCATTCCCAAGAGGCTGCAGAAATTAAAGTCAAATTGTTACATGTCATTTTGTTTTCCTATCTTAAAGGGCCTAAAGCATTTGAAGAGATAAAGGCCTTGTTACCATAGTTGCTACCGTAACTTTTGTAAAATATTTAGAACACTTTGCAGCAGTGATTAATAATTTTTTCCTGTAATGTTATAGATGCCCCAAAATATAAAAGAAGTGACTAAAAATCTGAAATTTTGATCATCTTAATTTTTTAACATAGTGATCATTTTGAGGGTCTGTGAACATTTTTATTTATTTTATTTATTTATTTATATTTGAATTTATATCCCGCCCTTCTCCCGTAGGACTCAGGGCGGCTGACAATCTATTTAAAATACATACAAAACAATACAAATTTAAAATTAATTAAAAGAATATTAAATATTTGTCGAATTTAAAATATAATTAAAACCCCCCTAAAAATTACCCTAGGCCAGTCCTGCAAGCTGGAA